AAAAAAAAAAAAAAAAGAAATGTCTTTCCTTTGCTTCCATGGATCATCCTAGAAAAGCTGCTCATATAGCTAAAGGAGAGCCCTCTGAACCTCTTCTGGTTCTGGGTGCCCAATTTGTGAATCATCCTTTGCTCAAATAAACCCTTTTGTCTAAAGGATATTTTTTAACACCTTGTCTGTAAATTGGAAACAATTGCATCTTCTTCACTGGGCCATAAGAATTAAATGAAAATATACATGTGAATCACTTAGCAAAGTATTCAGCATAGAGTAAGCACTCAAAAATATTTGTTGTTGTCATCATTAAAATGTCCTCATTAAAATTACTTCAGATTAAAGAGATCTCTGTATTTTCTTCCTACAAGATAATAAAGTCCTACGTAACTGCAAGCCCAGGAGGGGTGGAGACCCTGCCCTACTGTACTTGACAGCTTTGGGGATGTCTGCCTAACCTCCAACCCTCCTTATCTGGGGCTAGAACCCCAATCCACAGCATGAACCCCAGCCCCTGGGGTGACACCCCTGGCCTTGACAGCTTATACTAGATGCTCTGGGGTTCTCAATTTCTCCCCAGGAACTCGAACTGGAACCCAAGAGCCAGCAAGCAGAAATCAAAAAGGGGTGCCAAGAGAGGGTGGAACAGATGGGCACGGGTAGGCAGGGAGGGAAGGTGGAGAAAGTGCCCCAGGAAAGTGCCTCTGCCTCTGGATCAGGGATCCCCTACTTCCCTGTCCTGGGCCTGCATCCTCACAACCAGTGTTCCCTTGGGCTTAAGTCAAATTAGGTTTAGTTGCAACCTATGGGTCTCAGCTTATCCAGTTACTCCTCTCTTTGTACACCCCCCACATCCCCTTGCACAGGCACCAGCCCCAAGCAAGGCAAGGGAAGGGGTAGGTTCGTGTGCCAGCTCCATCCACCGTGCTACTGTGGGCCTTGGGCAGGGCTCTAGGATCCTTCAGTCCTCGTTGAAAGTGAACTTGGGGCTCGGCGCCTATAGCTCAACCGGCTAAGGCGCCAGCCACGTACACCTAAGGTGGCGGGTTCGAATCCCCAGCCTGGACCCGCCAAACAACAATGACGGCTGCAACCAAAAAATAGCCGGGCATTGTGGCGGGCGCCTGTGGTCCCAGCTACTTGGGAGGCGGAGGCAGGAGACTCGCTTGAGCCCAGGAGTTGGAGGTTGCTGTGAGCTGTAATGCCACGGCACTCTACTCAGGGGGACAGCTTGAGGCTCTGTCTCAAAAAAAAAAAAAAAAAAGAAAGTGAACTTGGGCATGAGCCAAGCCTTCCTCTTCTGAATTTTCCCCATTCTATGAACAGAAACTTAGATTTCCAACATTAGCTACTAAATATCTGAATATCATTCCCTACTTAAGACTCTTCAGCTTTCTATTGCTCTTGGCATTGGAACAAGTTTCCTTTCACTGACCAGAGGGACTGCATGAGACTCTCCCTCCCCCCCCTCCTGCCTCCTCTACCCGACTTCCCGCTCACACTGGGCTCTTGGCGTACTTACTGACCGTTGGCAGTTCCCCAAGATCCCATGTTCCCTCTGCTGTTTCCCCCAGGCTCCAGCCAACTATTAACCATTCTTCAGGCCTCCCCTTGATGTCGATTGCCTTAGGCTGCCTTTCCTGACACTCTCTCATGGGCCTTGTCCCCTGCATCTCTTCCTCCCATCCTGGCACTTCATAACAGTCTATTTATATGTCCACCTCTACAGTGCAAGTCCCCTGAGGACAGGCACCTTGTGTCACCTCTTCTTTCCCCCCCAGAGCTAACATTGTCAGTGTTTGGGGGAGTGTTAAATAAATGCTGTGGACTGAGGAATGTGGGTTCTGGAAGACCCCAACACTCACTGACTCTGGAGGCTGTCATCATTGTTTAGGATGACTTCTAGGAAATTCAGTTTTTCAGAGGGAGGAAAGGGAGAAAAAGAGGAGAAAGGTGGCCCCAGATGGGTCAGATAGGAGTTATTGGTAAGTCTGTGCCCAGGTGTCTGGGGAGGAAGCTTTTCTAGAGGAGAAGGTACAGGCTGAAGGGACGGTGAGGTCGGCAGGAAGGAGCTGATGTGAGCTGTGCGACAGAGGGCAAGCGAGGAGGCTAAGAGGGAAAGGGCGTTGGGGCAGAGCCTGTGGGAACTCACCTTCCTAACCCCTGCACTCATGCTGTGCATGTTCTGGGAGGTCCCTGGTGTCCACAAACTTGGCCACATGAAGGACACATGTGCCTGACCTTAAACAAGTCCTCATGTGGCTTGACTCAAAGGAAGCTGTTGGACAAAGTCATAGCAAGTAAAATTCTTCAGGGGTTCCCACTCGCTAATCAGCTTGCTAAAACCCATTTCCAAGGTCGGCCCCTGCTTGGGTGCCAGTGGCTCCGTTGGCCTTGGATAGAGTAGTGACAGTGTGCGGAGCCGGGCAGAATGTCACAAGGCCCCTTGGCTCCAGGCAGGCTCCTCTGCAAAGCCAGCTAGAGGAGGGGCAGTTTCCCTCCTTGGGTTTGGGTTCTGGTGTCATGAAACCATCATGGACATCATTCCTCAGCCAGCTCTAAGAAGCCTATAATCTAGGGGAGGAAAGAAACCAAAGTGTGAGCTTTGCACAGTGGCAATATTATAACCAATGAGGTTTATCCAAGGCACGATTACTGCTAATTTAAAACTTTTCCCATTATGCCACCATGACAACTCGCAATACAGTTGGCACTGGCAAGTTTTGACTGTCTCTATGGAAACCGAATAAAACATAAAAGTGTGGAGAATAATTAAATATTAAATGATGCAGTGCTTACTGATTGGAACAGGACTCTAATGTGTCTCAGGGAGTCCGTTCTGCATCAGAAATTCACAGAAAAGGTGACAGAGCAGAGCCTGCCCTACGAGGTGGGAGGATGTGGGCTGATGGAATAGAGTGGGATTCCAGAGGGGTGAGGGCTGCACGGGTGAAGGCACAAAGGCAGGAGCCTGCCTGTGCAGTACACGGAGCAGGGGAGATGGCTAACCAGAGAGGGCGCGTCAAATGGACAGAGAGGGAGGGCTGGGCGTGCTGGGAGGTGGGGAAGGTGGCAGATTTGAGGTCTCTCCACACTCAGATGGAGGAGAAGGGGTAGGGAGCCAAGGAAATTTCCTGCAATAGCTAGCCACCCGCAGGCATGGGAGACTGTTTTCCTGTTGGGGTGGCTGCCTTGAGAGCTGAGGGAGCCCCACAGATTAGGAAACCCAGAAGAGACAGGCCACAACTGCCTTGTGAGCTCAGGTGGCCCACCCTGTCACAGCCTGGGAAGCCACTGAAGGGCTTGCACAGGGACTGGCCGGTTTCGACTCTCTGGCAAGCACTTTGAGTGTAGCTATTAGGTGCAAAGCAGCAAAGGAAAAATGGAGCGAAATGAGAAAGTCTTCCTGCCCCGGGGACCTACAGGCCTCAGGAAAGGCTAAGGGGGGGAGGTGAAGGAAGTTAGTTCTGCTGAGAAGACTGCCTCAGGAAGGCACCTCTGAGGACACCAGGACTGTGCCACCTCAGAGTCTAAGAGTGTGTCAGGCAGAAGACGTGGGCAGGAGGGTATATTAGGAAGGGAGAAGATTCTGATGAGGGAGCAACATGAGCCCAGAAAGGCCAGAAGACCTTTCTCAGAGACAGGGGGTTGGGAGGCTGGTAGTCCTGGCACGAGAGAGAGACTGGGGAGGCCGAGGCAGAGGCTGAGGCTGAGAGGAGAATCCAGGGTTCCCACGACATTCCCAGGGCACGACACATGCACTGGACATTAGGGCATACAGCAGGGTGAGCAGGGCCAGAGGGGAAGGCAGGAAACAGGAACTTCTGCTTGGCATGGACAATGCTGGAGTCCTGCAGGAGCACAGACGAGGGAGGGACGGATTCCGCCCAACCTGCAGGGCAGGGTGGGGCCGGGAGGGCAGTGGAGTTGGGCTGGGGCCTTGAGGGGAGTGGGAGCTCCTTGTGGGGGGAGGCAGAGGAATGACCATGAAGAAGGGGGCAATGCCAGAAACGGGTGAGGCACCGCCAGAGAACAGCAAGCTAAGATGCTTAGAGCTGGGGGAGGCAGAGGCTGTGAGACTGAGGAGAGAGAGGGAGAACAGGCCGGGAGGGGAGGCTGAGAGGGGAGATAGGGAGCCAGACTGCCAGGCTTTGCTGCTGGGCTAAGGGATGGACTTGGCTCTTCTGCAGGGAACAGCACCAGGTTTCTGAGCAGGAGCATTGAGCCCAGGGCTGTCTGTTAAAAAGTGAATTCTGACCTCTGTGTATGGATGATGATGGGAGGGGCAGAGCCAGGAGGTGGAGACTAGAGAGGACACTGTCTGTGGAAGACGCTCCTGGGTCACAGTCAACAGGCCTTCCTTGGATGGGGAAGCCAGGAAGACGGGGAGGCGGCACGGTTTCCTCAGGGCAGGAGGCTAAGGAGCACCAGTACTTGAGGAGCAGTCATAAAATTTTGGGAATAAAGCTTGGATGGTTCTAAGAGAGATCTGGGAGGTGCTCCAGAGGACATGTTGGAGGTAGCTAGGGCAGTGGCCACGGGGAAGGGAAAGGAGGCCCACGTGAGGGGTTGGCTCTTCAGAGGATGGCTTTAAACCTGGATCCTTGTGGGCACTTTAGGGAAGAGGACACACTTGATGTGAGGGATGAATGTGGACATGAACCTGTGTAATCTCAGGAGAGAGAGGGACCTTGATGTCAAGATGCTCC